AATTAGAATCTTAATCACAATTCAGTTAAATGTGTGTGCGTGTGTACATGAATAGACTTTTCGTTAAACTTGAGTATAAAAAGGGTGACCTTAATGGCCACCCTGGCAACTACTGAATGAACCAATCAAGTTTTTGTATTCCAACTTGAAAGGTAGTTTTTCATAAAATAGAAAAGCCTAATTGGTTATCCCAGTAGTGTTGTTAAGGTGGCCTTTAAAGTCGCCCTCCAACAGTCTGTCATTAATTACATATTTCATAAATCGGTTATTATTACATGAAACGTTAACCCGATGATGAAATACTGTATACTTGAACTACATTTTCCCTGAAGGTACTTGATAAAGACCGATTAGTTTTTTGTCTTCGGAAATTATTTTATTCTAGGCATGTTATTGATCGAACAAATACCCTTACGGTCGTATTTTTTCTCATGTCGGTAACATAAGTAACAGGCAAAGAGATATACCAAAAAAAGAGAGGGAAGTTAGCAAATAATGAAGTTGTACACCTGCTTCGACTTAGATGGTTATTGCATGGGCTATGCATGTGTAGTCATCGTTCTCCTAGTCACACATTGTCAGTTAGAGAAGTCGCTGATTGCTGATCAGAGCCGTGTAGGGAAAAGTAGACCTCTCGATTGAAGCCTGCATACAACTACAATCGGCGATTGGAAACTTTAGGCAATACAATGGACAGAAAGAATCAACGTAGAACCTCGCACATATATGCAACGGTTCAAGTTGTTACAATTCACGTTAGTATGCCAAGAATAAACAGATAAGAAAAGACTTACATCAAATATTCAAGCTTCAAAAGACGTCACCAGGACTCCTCAACCACTGACTCCTTTCTTCTCGGGGACCCCAGTCAGGTAGTCTACATCTCCCAACACGCCTCAGATCAACAATTAGGGACTTCGTCGACTGATAACACATCTTAGTCTGATTACCCTGAACCCTCTTCCAATATAATCCAACTTCCCCCTAGTACTGGACCTCCAGGCAGGCGGTGGATCGGCATTCTCAGCATATGTCCTAGCCACCTCCATCGACTAAAGTTCACAACCTTAGCAATTGACTTGCCTTTCTTGCCTAGTATCCTTCGCCTAACCTCAACATTACTCACACGGTTATTCCATAAAACTCAAGGAATGCTACGAACGCATTTGTGATCAAAACCCTTTAACCACTTCCTGTCTTGAACTTTTAATTGCCATGCCTCACAGTTGTATAAAAGGACTTCAAAGCAGTATACTTGTCCTCTGACAGATCGTCGGATATCTCGCCAGTAGGCGTCACAGATACGCAAGTTGGTAAATGCAAAACGGCCCTTGTGTATCCAAGCGGAGATTTCGTCAGCCACCAGCCTGTCAGAGCTGATCCAATTCTCCAAATAAGTGAAACCGTCAACACATTCCACCACTTCACTCCCTAGTTGCAAACCAGTCCTGGAGAGATACAGCTGGGAATCAATGTCGATGGTGCAGATACTGACACAAATTATCTTCATCTCATCCTTTATACCGAATGATATTATTGCTTTATTCCTTCTTGTTCTCTCTTTCTACGACTTCTGATTAGTTTTCTACTTATTTCACCATCTATCAACATGACGCCTCCTATCTTGATGTGGTGCGACAATGTGAACCGTTATGCACAAATTTCAAGGTTTCTTGTTGAAACTGACTTAAGAGTATCAAATAGAAATAAACAATGTAGAATGTCCTCATCGAATAAAATCCCTACAATATTTAGGCAGAGGTTTGGCCAATTTATTGACCTGTGACTTGAAAGCAATGGGTGTAGAGTCTCAACCCCGCTCTATCTACTTCAGTCTAAACGATCTACTAGTACTGCAAGCCGATGATACTGTTAGTAAGTATCATAACGTCAAAGAGCACTAATATCCACCCGGTTAAGTTGCGTGAATTAGTTAACTAATTTTCAGTATCGCTACTGTTTATATATATATATATATACATATATATATATATATATATATATATATATATATATATATATATATATATATATATATATATATATCAACACTGAAGTCAACAGAAGGAAAGACAGTGAAACTACAGCAATAACAGCTGCTATAAAATATCACTTAATTCTTCAGAGAACGCATTGCTTTCATACAACTAAGATGAATACCAAACAAACAATTAAGAGATCAGTTCATTAAGAGGCATGCGTGCGTAGGCGGTTGCAGATGCATACTACATCACGAAATGAAGACCGAAGTATAAGGGATCAACGATACTATCTGGCTGTAAAATTCTCAGTATATGATGTGGAAATAATACAGTGAAAAGCTGAAAAGCTGTCATAAAGGAGTATTTAAAGCACATAACGATTTTGCTTGTCGAGTGAATTCTAATTTGAAAGTCTCTACATTCACCAACAAATATAGCTAGAACTGAATTGGTATGACAATCCACTTTTCTTCCAAACCAACTCTATTTGAACCATCGTAATACGTTCAAATAGATGACGGCTAAGAATGAGTAATATATGCTACAACCCCTTCAGTTAGTGAATGCTTACAGATTCATCGATTGCCTCCGGTTAACATTGAAACCAGAGTGAACTAACCAGCGGCTAGTGATTTTAAATGCCGGTTCTCCTAACGAGGTTTGGCCAGCCAGGTAGTATCATTAGCCGTCACACACACACGCACACACAAGGCGTGGCTCATTGCTTACTGCAAGAATATGCACAAGGTCATAGAGTGGGTTTCGGTCGATATTTTTCAAACCAACCAGAAAAAGATCTTAAAGAAATAGTTATATCTTGCTAATTGCGATAAGTGAGAGAAGACCCGGACAGGTATAAATGTGAAACGTGTATAATCATTAAAAACTATTCACAGTATATCCAGAAAGCTTTACAGTAGCAGATTTCTAGCATGATTTGTGAAAATCACTAAAACGTGACAGTGGTCCGAATGTAAGATTTCAGTCGTTTACCCGACACAAATGCGTCCGTAGTAAGGCTCTTGTAAGTTATTGTAGGCTTGTAATTTGTATGCATAAGCCCAAAGCATATGCATTAAAAGGGTTATAGATAAAGCATAGCTACCGCATGTCTGTAATTTTTTTAATCCGAGGTTTAGTGAAGAAGCCAATGGGTCATTAACTGTTTGCAGTTCACTCAGGAAGTAATAAAGAATAGAATATCTCAAGCTAGTATGCATCGTGGACTAACGTCAATCAGAGAATCACTGAAAACCTAGGATCACTGGACAGTTATTTCGTCCTCAACCGTGGGAATTCGCAACCCCACCAGGGATTGGATCCAGGACCGTCAGGTATCGTAACAAGCCCACTGTCATTCGTCCAGCCATTGGGTGGGAATCCAAGGGCTAACATTTGTCTGCCTCTATAGTGGATTTAATCCCCAGTGCGGTTGTGAGTGTACACTGCTGAGGAGCCCTGCACTGGAACGAAACAGCTGTTTAGTGCATCAAGGTTTTTAATAGTCCTCCAATTGCTGTTATTTAGTGATGAATGAAACTCTGAAACCAATGAATCCCCACGATGACCCTAACAATGACATTTATATTAAGTTAAACCGAATAGCAACGCATAAAGCAAATTATCTTAATTATTTCAGAATACTCACTAGATGGGTACCTTTCAATGTATAAAGAAAATTCATGAACACATTGAATATGCTAATTGAAGGCCAACTGATAAGCCGTAAGTGGAAGGGAAAGGGGATAGGTTAACAAAGATAACGTTTTTGGCAACTAACCGACAATAAACTGAAGCTAAATGGTTAGTATACATGGCTATGTATAGTAAAAGTATATCGTCGAAACATTTTGTTAGTTTTCTTTATCAATAGAAAAACATCTAGCAACAGTTAACAACAACTCTAAGTTAGTGGTGCGCAGAAACGAAAGAAATTCACTCAGTCACCTTGAGCACATCCATGCAGTAGGCGATGAGCCACACCTATTGTATGAGGACTAGCGATAAAAACCTGGCTGCCTAAACCTAAGTATGTGGGTGGGGGTTCGGACCCGTGACACGGTTGGTAATCATCTGCCTAACCACTGAGCAAGAACTCCCGACTCTCAGAAAAGTTATGGGGAACTCTTACAAAGTCGAAACTAGACACAGATCAGTCCCGAAGCACCATTCATTCCAAGACTTTAGCTGAAGACGTCCAGCAGAGCCCCATATCTTCACAAAGTAGAACTACCGCCATGTGTGCAGCCTAAGATGACCGGACGGTGTGTCAACAGAGGTTTCCCAAGTCACTTAATTTCACAACCTTTAATAAATCACACAGAATGACTAAATTTTCTTCCGAAGCAATAAGTAACAGTTAGCAACTATGCGAACTGCTAAGATACATTGCTTCTGTCCTTTTTTTCTATCTAACATCCACTCTGGTCGATATTGCGAATCAGGCAGGGCACACTAAGACTATGCATATATACATAACACCTGATACAGGTCCATCTTTATCAAGAACTGCACAATTGACGCCAACAATGTCCACTCTTTAATTCCAGCATAATTTAGATGTTTCCAGTATATCGGTGACCAATCGTTAGTTAGCGTGTCAGAGATTTTCATATCACCTAAATTTTCTTCTTAGGTACGTCGAGTATCTAAATCTGTCTCAGTAATATCAGGCTGATTCCACTCTCCATTTTCACGGTAAGAGTTTTGAACCAAAATCATAGATTGAGCATCGTTCTGAATAACAGATGTTCATGACTATACATCGTAGAAGCATGTAAAAACTAGATATTTCAGTGTATATCAAAACTCTTTACTAACTATACTCTGAGATGGCAACACCCCGGGGTATCGAATGACATTGAAAGTTCAAAGCATGTTCTCAGTCGTATATTTCAGTAATGGCAGTCCGTAAACACTAGCATAGACTTCAGAAATAAATGTGACGTAGTAAAAAGCGGACTCAGAAAACTAAACTGAACAAAGTTGAATATAAAAGTGTGATACTGAACTGCTTACTTATCTAGTAATCCCATGTTCAATATGATTACACAGTTCTGTCGGTTATCTGTAGCAACTTCTCAGTAATAACAACATCATTCACTTTAGTGTTCTGTTCTGCAATGAGCGAAAGAATTGCAATGACTGGAAGACAAATGATAATTCTGTGAGGTTCAGCAATGTGTATCATCTTCAATTAACCCAAGCGCACACATACAAACACTCTGACAAGATAAACTAGCAAACGTTTCGCGCACACAAAACTGAATTCCACAGATCCTCACAACTATGTAAGTGGTAACTCCCGCTGGTCAAAAATGCATCCTTAACCACTATCATGTGCAGGTCAGGCAATGTAATCTCTTTCTTCGATACTCGGTCGTCTGCATCCATTAGTCAGTAAGTCAATATTAACATGGGACCTGGCATTCCTAAGTACCGATCCCAATTGCCCAACCTCACGTGAGCAAATCAAGATACAATGCAGCAAGAGAAAAGGGCGAAAATGTAATCAAAATCCGTAGGAAGTTATAAGAAAAAAGTAGAAGTAACGGAATATTATACGATCACTAAGATGTAAATTACGTACGGATGCATATGAGCCACTAAAATCGATTCTGAACCATATTACAAACTCTCGTTGTCACCTTGATCTAGATGGATACTAAGAGTCAGGAAAATTCGTGGACAGTTACTACACGTTTTAATTTCGTCATTTTCAACCACTTACCAGCTTAAAACCACTTCAGCAAATAATGAGTGACGGGGTAAATGGTAACTAGACCTGGGTAATGCATGTCACAGCCACCTGAGTCAATGAAGATATACAACCTCTTTCACATAAGACTCTATCTCTAACCTCCACCTTACTCAAATCCTAGTCTCGTGACCCATGTTTCTATAGTAATAGTGGTTGAGTACCAGTAGCCTTCTTAAGTGCTCCGCCTGTGATGGTTGTCTTCTATAGCCATACATCTTAGGATGGACCAAACCACTGTGCAGGACGCTCAACTCTATTTAAGTACTCACATATTTCACTGGGACCACTAGTGAGGTAGGGTTGCATAGACCAACCGAGTCTTTTCATCTGCACCGAGATTTTACTAGTCACTGACCTATCAAGGTTGAACCGACTTATGTGAGGGCCCAACTACTCGTCGGATGAGTCGTCAATGCAGACTAGTCCTGTCTATTGGCAAAGTCGCTATGTGGAATCATGGGATAGTATATATCACCGACCACGTTTTTGCGCGAACGCCATACGATATGTATCGCGGAGACAGTTACTCAGTTATGCCTTATTTTATTGTCACTACTCAGAACAAAAATACATGTAATGAGACCTAGGAAGAAGACTGTGAGTAGCCATGAAAAATGATGTAAAGTAAGAAACTTGAATCCATGTTCACATCTTCTATAGGTTTGAACAGTAAATTTATTCACTACCCATGACAGAGTACTGTCAACTATACATCTTGCAAATGAACTGTAATAATTTGGACATAGAATAGTTTCCTTTTCTGATCAGTTACATCCAAATTGAACAGGTGATGAAAACGACAATAGCTTAACGTTCTCTGACCTTTAACATTTTGTCATGGATGTTTAATTACCACACCTGGAAAGATTTGCGAGAAAATATAAACGGTAAGCGAACACTACATGACTGTCATCCTCATTGTGAACTACAAAACTTCCTAATAAAGTCACAGGTGATATTAGATGAACTTCACCCCTTGTCATCCGAAATGTCGGTGAGATATCCGACTACCTATCAACGAAAAGTATACTGCACTGCCGGCCGTTCTGTCCTGTCGTACGGCTGTGAGACATGACCACTGAAAGTAAAAGAAATAAAGTGATTATAAGGTTCTGACCACAGGTATCTTAGCAACACTGCTCATATGTGGTGGGATCACAGTGTGAGCAACATTAAGGTCAGGCGAAAGGCAAGACGGGAAAGTCAGCTGATGAGGTTGTGAACCGTCATCAAGTGAATTGTCTTGTACACATATTGCGAATACCGGGCCACCTTCTACCTCGATGCCCAGTGCTAGGAGAAGTTAGATTGGATTGGACCAGATCGAGTCACGGCACCAGTCGATGAAGTCTGTCATTGTCTGTCTGAGCCGTGTGAGGAGATATAGACTACCTGGTTCAGATCCCTGAGATAACAAGAGTCGGTAGTTAAGGTCTGTTGGGGAAATAGCTGAAAATCGATCCCGATGGAGCAGATGCAGTCACATCTTGATGTCTTACAAAGCTGGCATGTTTTAACAACCTACAATTTTCAAACTTCGTCTCCTACCATACACCTTTGTCTACTATGATATCGGTCTCTGTCCTGTTCACTTGTTCTTTGTATACTATTGTGAAGTGTGGCAACTTGAACTGATCCGGTTGTGTACGAGGTTCTACGTTGATTTTGCCTGTTTTTATCCAAGTGGAATTTCCATTTAGGATATTGGCGTCAGTTATTTTATACCCATAACACCCAATGAAACGAAGCCTTCACAGAATAACAAATCGTGTGTTACGGAATCTTACCATTTCTTTTAATTATGTCGGCGTCGCATTTCTGTGAAACCCGCTACTTGAAGACAGTATCATACATAGTGTCTTGGATACACTAAAAGGAGAGTAGTTTGCGAAGAAAACTGTCCAGTAAAACCCACACACTGAAATCTGTTTCATGTGTTACACCAAAATGTCTTTACTTGATAGGATAACTGGATGAATTCACCTTTTGGACTCAAATATGCTACCTATCTAGAATGTTCCTCATTATGACAATCTTACCAGACATGTACATGGTATTTGTAGAAGGCTACGTATAACACTTATGGTTTGAAGGTTCAAGATACCACTTGGTTACCTAGGTGAAATCAGGGAGCTGTGGTTCATTGGTTTAAATGGATGACTTCCAACCAGCGGGTAACAAGTTCGAACACCGCCCAACCTACCGACGTTTGAGCAGTCAGGAAGTAGTACCATTAGCTATCACACAATAGGTATGGCTCATCGCCTAGTGCATGAATGTGCACAAGGTCGCCAAGTGCATTTCGATCCAAGTTGGAATCACAGTTCAAACCCAAGATCCACTGCAGAACGTCAAATGTATAGACAAATATGACACACCACTTTCAACATGGTCAAGATTGTTCAGAACTTGTCATACACATCTATCGTAGTGATAATGCTATTAGTATGAGAAGCACCTATCAATATCATTCTCGTTCCTGGATCGATAGTACTCAATTTCTCACAACAGATTTATGTCAAGTTGGTATTCATCATGGACTGACATCAGTTGGAGGCACAGTGGGAACCTAGTGTGGGATTTAGCGCGAAACTAAGACACCGCCATGGATCAAACCCAGGGCCTTAAAGTCCCGCGGCAAGCACGTTATCATTGAGCCACTGGGTCGCAATCCAATAGTCCCAATGGGTATTTAAACCGTCATGGATAAAGCTAGTTAGTAGATTTCAATAATCGTTTGAATTGAAACACTTACGTAGAAAAAACCAAGTTTCTAAACAAATGATCTAGTGTTTCAATAAGCGGGGTATGAGATACAACCGCTAACTAGGTATGGGATTTCATTTTATCACTGATAATTCGAACCAACTGACGTGGAAACAAGGAACCTTCATGCCGAATTCATCATTATACGGACCTAATAATTAGAAGTTCACATTCTACGACTGAAATCGAACGAGACTAGATTAGTGAAGCAGATGACAAATTGACAGTATATTCCCCATCAACTTACCGAAATCAGGTTCAAATAAGGCTAACAAGTTGACCAAGGAATAGAGACTAATGTACGTGAGTAAAGATTACAGTTTCTAGATGAAGTTAAAGCTACAAAGTGTTATAAACTAGGTCCATATGTCAATAGATCCTTTGAAAATAGTAGCAATTAGATAGGTAAGGTTTTTAAATTGAACCTGACTTATCTCGACATCATTTCATACTTGTTGTATGGAACGGTTGCAAATAAAACAATATTCGATAAGTTATGTCAGTTATTTTAGATGTAGAATACTTCAAATCGAAAAGTGTTTAAATACGTAAGTTCATGAAGCGAACTAAAATACACTCAGCAACCTTGTGTACATCCATAGAGTAAGCAATGAGCCACACCTCAATAAGTGAAGCGGAGTCCAAGTATGTGACCTAATGGTCAAAATTCACCTTCCAAAATCAATAAACCACAGCTCCTTTATGAAACGCAACAATATCGAGCATCTTTTTGGATCAGAGAATGAGAATAACCTATTGTGTAAGGGTTGACGGTATTGTCTAATTGCTCAAACCTTATAAGGGGGACCAAATTTTGATTGAAAGTCAGCTATATAAACCAACAAACCATAACTCCAAATTTAACAAATAAGGCCAATTTATGAATTACCACTTTATTAGATGAATAGTTAGTCTGTAGAAATTATATCACAGAGGTGACAGTGATCATTTCGACGTAATTAAACCTTAAGAGTATCATAAAAGGTTAGGCTGGCAAAAGTTCCGAAATCTACTAAAGCACTTTTTTCCACCCTAAGTTTATTAACTTTTAGAGCAGATGATATAGAACAGAATGCATCGCAGTCCTTCAGATTCATTCACATCCTATCTGCATTAAGATATCGGGGAAAAAATATCACTATTCATTGTACTACCCATTTTTAAATTCCCTCTCCTCTCATATACCTTTGTCCACTGAGAGATTACTCTTTTTCTTTCTATCCATCTGTTCGTTGTATACTGCTGTGAAGTGTGGCAACTTGAACCGATATATTTGTGTACAAGGTTTTACATTGGAAGAAAGTCCCCAGTGTCCATGAAGTCCCTGATTGTAGGTTTGAGTCATGAAGAGAGGTGTCGACTGCCTGGCTAGGATCTCCGAGACATTAAGCATCAATGATTGAAGACTTTTGGTGTAATAAATAGAAATCGGTCACAGTGGCGTTGATGTATTCACAACTCGATGTCTTACAAAGCTTGAATATTTTGACTAACTTTCATTTTTAAATCCCCTCTCGTCTCATACACCTTTTTCTATTTTGATATCACTCTTTATACAACCACTTGTTCTTTGTAGACTACTGTGAAGTGTTGCAAGTTGAACCGATGTGATTCTGTGCTAGGTTCTACGTTGATTTTGTCATTCTCATGTAAATCGCTCAGTGTGACGTATTCCCTATGAAACCAATATCATCAAACTGGAGGACGCAAAGAATTAGCGTGATCTCATTTTAAAAGAAATGAACTTCTTAAACTGCAATAAAAAAAAGGTTTGATGTTCTGCATACAAAGTTGAGATATTCGGTTTGAGAAAAAGAGGAAAGTCAATGCTTTGAAACCCTAACGATCTCACTAAAAATGTCATATTGAGCATTATCATCATCAAAATTAACATAGGACCGGGCATTACTGCGTAACGATCCAAGCTGCCAAACCTTATCA